CCTCTATCTACTGTGTCAGTTCATGAATCCGTGAAATTCGCGGGGCACAATGCATGGAATATTCAATCATTCTACCCAGATAGAATATGGAAACGGACGACAGTGCAATGCAGGGAGAATATCTCGCTGTGTTCCAGATATGGTCTCAGAATTCGAAATATGAGATGACGTTCGACTCGTGGTCTCAAGATCGGTCGGCAAGAGTGATGGCTAAGGAAAGCCTGGAACTGAAGATTGCTGCGAAAACTTGGAGATAGCTGTTGTTGATGATTATGGTTATGGTCACGCAATAGGTGACTTCTTTTGCATCAAAGCTACCTCCTTTAAAGCAAATATCCGGTTCTTGTCTTCATGAGGCGATTAGACCTAACCAAGATGCATTTGCTCCTTATTCATCACAACACCTTCTCCAGTGTTGTGGCTTGCTGGACGTTAGTGCAACTCTGTACCGGTCCCTTGGCTTCCTGCTCCTCCCACAATTGTATATCAAAAGTCACCGTAGTTCTACATAGCTCCTTATTGAGACTAATAAAAGTCATTATCGGGTAACCACGAGATATTCTACTGGGTCGTACTAGAATCTCCGTGAGGGTTTGAGAAGCACTGAGTCAAAGATGCTCGATCTGGATTGGCTGGCGTTTTGACCAATCAGGTCATGCCCTTGTTTGGTCCGTACCCTACACGTGACTCCATCCAAATAATGTGATGTCCAGTTATTACGGACGGCTGCCCCCCCCCGGACACTCAGTTCCTCATTTTTAATTAACGAAGCAATATCAGATGTACCTTAGCTACTTTGATGCGTTTGTTGGTTGATTTACCGACGGGAACTGAGCCGAATGTTGCAGATGTTTGTGACGTCGTATGTTCAGCGGAATACTCAGCAAATCTACTGCTGCATCCAGACTCTTGTAGATAATTTAATGGGCTAATCTACGTGTTTCTTGGATTCTCTTGTCCTCATCATTATTGACAGCGATACCGAATGAGAACGCCATACCTTCATGTCAATAAACCTTATAATGGAAAGAGAGCAGCGTGGTAGATAGAGAACCTTGCACTAGCCTGCAACAAATATCCCAGGTTCGCACACTTTTAAAAAACAATTAGACAATCTGGACAAAAAGTGTGATCATGAACGCGTCTGGAATCGGCTAACTGCCATGTCGTTCAGTGCTCCCAGTCAAGCGCAGGGAAGGGCACGTAGATCCACTACTGGAAGGCCGACATCACCCACACTTTTCAAAACGTTTGTCATTTACCTCTGGCATGTCAAATTCTGTCCAAATTCAGGCTTCCACCGCCCCAAACTGGGCACAGAGGACAGTGGTCTTGTCAGCAGGCGGTAGTTTGGTACGGTTATCATACCTCCCAGTTACCTGCGCTTGCAGTGCTGAATGCTTTTTTGAATGGAGTGCCGTCTTCACCACTACCCGTCTCCTTGTCGCTTAATTTCGAACTCGCTCTTTACAGCCGATTTCAACGGGAGTTCGGAGACATGGGTGGTCAAAGACCTGAAAATATCTCATCCTCCGTCCGAAGCGGCCGAGTCCAGCAGCCGTGCAACAAAACAGGCCGTACTGTAGTTTGATGCACGCATTCTCTGAGACCTAGTGAGATGCCTTTTTGATGACACAGGTGGTGCGAATTGGCAAGCGCTGTTCTGGATTTGGAGATTCGTGCTTTGACTTCTGTCACACTGCCATCATATCTAATGCAACTTCCGAGATACCTATAGCTTCCCAGTACTTCCATCGTGTTTCTTCAGGTTTCTGGAAGCATATCAAAAGACTACGTTCCGAAGCATTACTGCATTTTGCGGGCGCGTAGCACACACTGAAGGATATGATGACCTTGTCCGGCATTTTAGCATTCTTGCACTTGCTGCTCACCGCCATTTCAGTTCGCAAGGTCCTCTCTGGGCAAAATCCAAAGCCCTCAGTTTTGAAGGCCTTTCAGAGCTCGTCTCGTTACTAAACCTATGACGAAATTTAGCTAAAATGAAGCGGATTGAACCCTTTCCTGACACCACTGCTATAAAAAGGCCTTCGAGGAGTTATCCATCCAACCGCGTCTATATCTGAATACAAGCAGTGCATGAAATTTCTGCAGCATACTCTTGTGCAAGCATGGCATTCTCCTGACTTCCGCATTGTGCTCCACCCTAAAACATAGTGCATTCGGTATGCGAGAAATTCCGCATTTGGAATGACTTGAAATACGCGGCTCCAATGCCGTGGGATTCCTCGAAGTTTGAGGTGCCAATGCGAACTCTATTACTCGAACTTATTCTCCTGGAATATCGCAGACTTCCGTTGTCCTCGGTCTGCTACTGGGTAGTTTCGCGGGACGGGATTGAAAAGGATCCGCGGAGTTATTTTAGTTCTAGCAAACAGGTGCACGAGAAGACTTCAATGGAGTCCGCACAAGCACAGGACGCTCCGGTTGAGTTCACTGATAATTGTCAGTAGAGTTGGTTGCTCCATAGATTTGCTTCATTAGTCACTCATTCCCGCTGAAATAAGGGCATAAATATATCAATATTTCGAAGTGACAGGCGAATTCGGAAACTGACACCACTCTACCGTCCTTCATCAACTTCATCAACTGCGTTTTGCTAATTCTTTCCTTTTCTAATATAGCAACCGTTGAAATGAAAAATCTGACTGTTGTACAACAAAGCGAACAATGGTTAGCTCTCCAGGGTGTGCATCAACTTTCAGCAGAAGAGTGGTCTAACTCCCTTGTCTTATCATCCGGTTGTTCTCTTGCGGTTATCACCGAAAAAATGGTTTGCCCCTGCCCTTTCTGATGATCCTTCCATTTAGACCTATAACTCATCGATACCTGACTCTCATGGAGATATTCTCTTATGCCAGCTCATTGGCCATCTTCAAGCGTGTGTAGTTACCACCGGTGGGATTCTGTTGTTGCGAGTCACGGACAATGTGGTACAGCTGTCATTCTGCTAGTTCCTGTTTATTGTCGTTGCAGGTTGTCGATGCATATAAGACGCCGGCATGTGTGGAGTGCGCAGCATTTTCTCCAGACAAGCTCACCATTGTGTTTGTCACACGCAAGTTCTGCATTTTCGCCTCTTATTAACGAATCCAGGTGACCATTGCATCACTTTGCTCACCACTGGTTTGGAGCCGATAGTTACTGCTGATTTGAATGCACATGGCTTTGGCACAGGTAAGCTGTTGTGTAGAATATGTCAGCGCGGGTATTCTTATATCGCTACCTGATTCTCATTTGATTTGTAAGGGTTCCGTCCGAGAGAACTTCTGATCAGGTTGAGTGGATCGGCCTACGGCCTTGACGCCCGAAGACCGGCTGTAAATATGAAAAAGACAATCGTTCAACTGTAACATGCTTTCCGTGCCTAGCTGTCACGCCACCGAAGGAATCAGGAGGGCTGGGATACTGCCAGGGTGCCTAAGCCTAGACAGGGGAAGTCGAGAGATGGACGTCGGTTTCGAACCACGGACCTTCCGTGGTCAGTGAATTCGCGCTCTAACCACTAAGCCATTGCTTTCCCCGAAGATCGGCTATAAGGTTGGATGAACAGCTTAGCGTAGGCCAAGAGCACAAATAGTATGTTTCCTCAGCTCCTATTTTTCACTTAATCCATCCAAGGTCCCCAGTGCTATCTTAACCCTTGACTAACTTGGGACAAAGCGTCTTACTCTTTTTATCTTAACTCAGCTGATGTAACATGCAAAACAAGTTTCAAAACGGAAGCGATATCCGAAAGGCTTAAAGGGCATTTCCACCTGTTAATATGCTTCATTCTGTGTAATCCCAGTTTATCAGTTATCATGACTAGGAAACATCTTGTTGAATACCTTACTATTTCCGAAACCCCGCTATCCCATGGCTTGCATATCGCACCACATCAATCGGATGATATCCTGGGCGTACCACTACACCCTAATGGGTGACAATTCTTAGTCGTCAAACTACGTATGACTTGGGTTGTGAACTGAGTAACTGGGCCTGTGCCACGTAGCCCCTGATAAGCAGGGACCTAATTTTTCCTCATAGGTGGGGTGTTGTGACGATCCTGGTGACGTCCACACATGTTTAACTCTGTCAGGAAGTGACAGTTTACTGATCCCCCAGTATCTCATGTATAACATTTGGGCATGTGTTAGCCATTTGGCCAGCTGCTGGCCACGAGAACACAGGCGCCGGAAATAAACAAAAATTGGAGGATGCGCAGTACATCTAAGTTGTCTGACATCAGCCAATTCCTGGAATCGGAACTCCAACTGTGACATAAGTGCTTCCATCGCACTTGTTTTTAGCTTTTTCTACCGATGATGATCGATGGTAACTTTCGGGTTTTCGGGCGTTTCACTGTACGGTCTACGTTGAGTTGCCCTTTACAACCCGTCTGACATGCTCGATTTCATCAGATTTATTCGTTCAAAATTTGATGGATGATATGGATAATGTGTGAAGGATTCCTCCTTTTTATAGCATCCGTTTCCCATGATCGTTCCCCTTAGTATACGACAAAATTAACCGCTTCATGGGCAACCGTCACTTCAGATTTTTCAGTTTTCCTTTCCGTCACTTACTTGCATCAGATGGTACTTGAATACATCCCGAGAACAGTGATATTAATCGTCTTCAGCTCGGCGTCTAAAGACATGGAAGACTACCTACGCCTATGGTCACTGAGCTTAATACATTTCGCTGTGGTAACCCATTTCCTCCTGAACAAAACTGTCTATCCTGGGAATGCGACATATTCATCTACCAATAAGTATTCTTGTATATTTCAAGAGTGGGGCCAAGTTTTTCTCTTGAACTGACATCTATGCGTGGGTCTCGATACTGGAGTATTGCGTTTAATTGGACGCAAATAACCGGAAATCCAGTGATGGTTCTGAAATTTCGAGACTTCGAGTAGGTGATCCTACGCATACGTTTTTTCCAACATGCTTTCTGCACTATGTTTTATACCTTATATACAGCAGTGAAGCATCAGTGTCAACACTGATGTTGCTATCTTTGATGATGATGATGATGATGATGATGATGATGATTTATGCCTTATTTGTCTCCCTCTTGCAGCGGCTCCCATTGCCCTGGGTTGGGGAAAAAAGGAGACTCAGTTTCACGGTTCTTTGGGTAAACAGGCCGCTTTAGCAAATCCTGAGGTAATAATCTGGAGGTTTCCATTTACAGTTTTGTCTTGCGCTTTTGCAAACAAAGGTACTGTCAGTGGTAGCATTAGTTGACCGAAATCGATTCATCGTTGTCTTCCATTGCCGAAGAATTCGGCCTCACCATCCATTGTTTATTTTTTACTGTTACTGTTATTGCTCCCCGCATCTGCTAACAGTAACTCCATTTGCAGTTATGATATTCCTCCAGACTCATCCATACTTTTTGTTGAATGACAGTCGATTTTTGTAAATCTCTGGACTATAATGGATGTGGTACAGAGATGGCTAATGAGATTTCTCAAGGCCGTATTCGGAGACATCCGCAACAATCCTTGACAGGCTGTCTGTATACTCGCCAGAAGGTACAATTTTCTTGCATTTGCAAGTAGCAATAACTACAGATAGATCATCCACTATTGAAGATTTAGTAAATAAGCACCAAAAATGGTTGTTATCATCTGAGACGAAATCGGCAATCAACCTCTGCAGTGAGGTTTGTTAGGTTGAATTCCCTTTAATTTCACTTGTATATAACCTCGAGTTGGTTTTTTGTTTTGTTGAATGTTTCAAAATGGATGTTCCCAGTTTATCATTCGCGGTACGCGCAAAGGCTGCCTTTTTGCTTGTTATCTTTACATTGATGATACCAATCCTTTTGATCGTATTTCATAAGTTAGGTCGTGGCGCTGCCGCGTAACATGACATGTTATGAGTTTCATGGTTTTTTTCGAACACGGCACTCATCAATTTCTGCCGAAAGAGGGCTTGCCTCGCATCACCGGATTAGTTTTTCTTGCCATCATTTATCATGCCGCTGAGTTCTTTTTTCCGGGTTACAGCAATTTTTGCATGGCTGAGTGCTAGTTTACCTAATTACTTCATTTTACCGCGAACATCACATGTGTGAAGATTATTTGGAACATTGTGCGCCACTCCAAAGAGTTGTCTTTCAGATCTACGGCAACACGATATATATATATATATA